CAGACAGTTCGACAATACTTAACAACAGGCAAAAAACTACTTCTTTATTATTCCTTCAGAAATAAGAGTCTTTTATACCCTTTTCCTAGCTATTATTAACCATCTAATATACTCAGTCTTCTATATTCTTGGCACTCTCTTGATAGACAATATATGTGCTATCCAAAAGATGTCTCAGCTTTATTACAGTGTGTTAAGTGTGTTAAGTAGGTAAAAGGTATATTTCTCAAAGACTTCATTCTATAAATCTGGAGACTACTTATACACATCTTCTAAGGTATTGCTGATACAGAACTAATTATTCAATAGCATTCTCTTTAAAAAAAATGCACAGACAATAATCTTCCCTTCTTCAGACTTCCAGGGACAGAATCTTTCCTTATTTGTAACATACTCCAGAGATTGTGTGTTGACTATAGGTCTTCTTCAGGCTCACTTTCTTCAGGCTCACTGTCCTCAAAGCCACTGTCCTCCTCTATCAACCTGCATCTTCTTGTTGGTCCAGGTGCATCATCTACAATCCGATGGCCTTCCAGTAGACGTTCCATTTCTTGTTGGTGTATGTTTTCCCATCTCACAGTTGCTCTTCTTTTTTGGTTATATCTGCTGAGTCCTTCAACCTCTGAGGGGAACTCAGATCCTGGCATGGCAACCTCTTCTTCTGATGCAGCCACTTCTTCTGGCGCAGGTTCTTCTTCTTCTGGCACAGCCACTTCTTCTGGCACAGGTTCATCTGGTATGTTTATGGCCTCCAACTCATTCTCCTCAGATAACCCTCCTGCTGCTTCTTTGCTTTGGCCTTGTGCCTCTGCTTCTTCTTTGGAGACTGATTGCTCCTCTGGGGTGTTTCTGCCTGGGCCAGTTTTCACTTCCTCTTGATTGGGAGGAACTGTGACTTTTATCTGGAGGACTACTTCTTCTTCGTCCCAAAAGTAGGGCATCAATCTATCCCCATGATAGTTTCTTGCCAATGGACTTCCTTCCCTGTCTCTCAGTGAGTAGATGGACCAATGCCTTGCAATCACCTGGAAGGGGCCTGTTCTTCTTTCCCATTGCTTTGCTATGTTGGATGCCTTGGGCAAGACCTTCATTGAGACCCATTCTCCAGGTTCAAACCATCTGGCTGCAATGTTTTTGTTTGCTCTTTCAAGAGCTTTTCTTTTTAGCATATTTTGTTGTTCTGTTGTCTTCTCAGACAGTCTCCTTTCTAACCTCTCTACGTTGTAGTCATCTTCTTCATGTATGAGTGTCCCCGGTGGATTTAAGCTCAGTGCAGTTCTTGGATAAAGTTGCTCATATGGAGTGCAACCTAGAGTAACAGATATGGTGTGGGCATGTGAAGCAACTATCCTTGGTATATACTTTGTCCATCCTCCTGTTTGTGCTTCATCCAACTTCATCCTTCTCAGTTTATCTTTGAATAGTTTCACAGCAATTTTGGCCAATTCTGATTGTGGATGCATAGGTGAAGCATGTATGTGTTGAATGTTTTTTCTCTCAAGGTAGTCAATAAATTCATGTGAGATGAACCGCCTGTCATTATCACTAGTGAGCTTCTGTGGGAGACCATGTTGTGAGAACCAGTTCTGCTTGAGGGTGTCCACTATTGTGGTGGCTGTCATGTCAGACATGGGGGTATACCTTGTAATACCCACTGGCAGAGTCTATAGTGTTCAAAAAATCAGAAACAAAAGGTGTGTTTGTAATATAAGAAATATACTTTGCAAAGCTTTCTTCTATCTAATAGATGGATAGCTTATATACTTTTTCTATCTGATACATTAGTCTATATAAAATTACAAAAGCAATCTTTTCCAAAAGCATAGGAAGGATCCCTGGCATATTAATATTCTAGGGATCAAATACTTCCATATTTGTAATAATAGCAACCAGTGTGTCCATCTCTGGGTCTTCATTATCACCAATGTGTAGCAAATCAATGTAAATATGCTCTCAAGGTTCCGAGGTGACAGAGGTTTGCATAGGCATGTATGATCTTTGTTGCACTGCACTCATCTGACAGACATGACAAGACTTTACCACCTTTTCTGCAATACTATGTAGGCCTTCACACCATACTCTTTCTCTCACATAACTTGAGGTTCTGGTTATGCCTGGATGGGCTAGTTTCCAGTGGAAATTTTTTATCCATTTTCTTGCTATGCTCCTGGTGATTACTGGAACCCAAGTTCCCATGGATCCTGTGTGGTGACTAGGTACCCAACAATGCAACACTCCTTCATTTATCAGCATGTTGGATACTTCATCCATGTTAGGCATGGGGTCTTCATCCATAGCATCACGATTTTTGGTCAGTTCAGTCCATCTTATTATTGTTGGATCTGTTTATGCTTCCAACACCAGCTCATAGGGGCCCTGAATATTGTCTAGTGCCATTGCGTGATATGCCAGTGTACCTTCAGGGTCATTGTCTTTGGACTCATCCACCTCAATGTCACTCTCGTCCACAATGTCTTTCTATTCTTTGTGCTTGTCTGGATTGTAGTCCAGATCTTTGTCCTTATTGTCTTTATCATCCCAGGACACCACATAGTCCACTTTACTGCCCAATAATTGAGTTCCCTCTAGCTCAAAAGCTCCAATGGTCTCTATCTCTTCTGAGTATTGGCTTTTTCTTCTGAGTTCTTGGTTTGCCCAGCACTTGAGAGAACCAGTCTGCTGTTAGTTGTGTCTCCCCAGAGCAATGTACCACCATGTCTTGGTGCACTCCTAGACTGCTTGGTTCAGCACAGAATCTAGATAGATCATCTTGACAGTGCTTTGTCTTGTGCATGAAGAGCCCCAGAGCAGTAGTCATGTCTGTTTCAATTATAAGGTTGACACATCCATTCAGGTAGGGATAAAAATGGCTTACTGCTGTTACTATTCCATAGGCTTCTCCCCAGCCTGGATGCCTGCTTCCTTGGGCTCCATCAAAAGCTTTTGAGTAGTATGCAATGGGTACTACATTTTCTTGATTAGGAGTAGGATGGGTGAGAAGGACTGCTCCAATGCCAGATTCTGTGGCATCTACTCTTAGTGTTAGAGGTGCTCCAGGCCTTGGGATTACCAAATGCTTTACGTCAGTAAGGGATTGCATCAGGGCTTTCCAGTTTGGTCTCAAGGAGTCTTTGTCTTGTTTTTTTAATTGTTTTTTTGAGCTGATCATCTTTAATGACTAGTTTGTTCTTGGCAAATTATGAAAGTAATTGGGGCATCACCAATGGTCTTGTCCCAGACAAACTCATTAGTCTACCATTTGTCTCAACCATTATAAGTCTCTCTCCTCCTGCTCTTATCTTTGTCTTGGCTTTTGTTATAATCATTAGATTGTTTTATTAAATAATATAGAATTAGATTGCAGTATAGAACACTCTAGTATAAATACTCAACTCATTGTTAAAATAAAAACAATATCATGATATCTGTTTCCTTCTCATACTCTGTCCTTGTCTTCCCTTGTCTCCTACCATTGTTCTCCTACCTGTTCCTGATGCACAACACCTAGCACCCCTGCTTCTTTCTCCTGTCCAACCTTGATCCTTACATCATCTCATAAAAAGGTAAGATTATAGATTGTGACCATGGCAAATGCTTGCTTATAGCATTTATACCTCCACATATTTGTTGAATACCTTTGACAGTTTCTGGCATCTCCAGGGAAAGCAGATGTTTTATCCTGTGATCTGGTACTCTCCAATCTCCATCTTCACTCTACTCCCTTCCCAGCATGGCAACATCCAGCTTTCCAAAAAAAACATACTCTTCTTTGTGTTGATCAAGAGATTTGCTTTGGCCAGACAGCAAGCTACTTCTCCAATGTCTTTTGTATGTTCTATCTTGTTTTTGGTGGTTGACTTGAGGTATATATTATCAATATATATCAATAGTTTGTCAGATATGCTTGGTGCCTTTGAAAGTACATGCTGCAAGAAAGCTTGAGCTATTGCTGGTGATTCTGAGTTTCTTTGAACCAGGCTGTCATGTTCTGACTTCAATCCAAAGATTCTCTATGAATTGGTCAACATGAGTAGTATGCTATGACATTCAGAATACTCTATGAAATCTTGAGTGCACACAAGTAACATAGTACATCTCTGTATCATCTCACTGATTGGTTGTAACTACAAATCACCTTCTAAAGCTCAGTGTACTATTGGACACTTAACAAGAGCCATCTTCATTAATAATCCTAACAGAACAATATTGACCTATCAGAGTTAATTGAGTAAAGACTCATAATAATTAATGGTTTCAATAATGGAGTGCTTATCCCAGGAACCAACCATAGGGTTGAATCTAATAATACTACAACTAAGTAAAACATATGAGCCAACCATAAGGTGGCAGTTATTAATACTACCATAAGGTAGAAATATAGACACCAACCATTTAGTTATAATTGTGAAGCAGCCATAAGATTGACTATCATAACTACCATAAGGTAGAATAGATTATCCTACCATAAGGTAGAAGCCACTGAAGGATAAGCACCCACCAAAAGTATAAATAGTGAGCCTTTCTTTACTCAATAAAAATTATCTTTGTTCAGTCTTGTTAATCTACCTGTCCAAACAATCTCACACTTGTCTATTTAGTATAAATAGAAATGTCAAAATTGTTTTAATAAAAGTATCTTGTTCTTGAGTCTGAATAACTCCTTTCAAATTTAACAGTATAGCTGATAGCAGATATCAGAATACTGATTTTATTATGACAATTAGATAAGTATTTATATGATTGTTTCTATGGTACTATCTAATTGCTAAGTGAAATATGCTATGCAAATAATAAAGGAGTGATATTGGTGGGGAAAATTGTGTAAAATAAGAAGTGTTTAAATTAGGTAATCACAATATCTATTAACATTTAATTTTTAAATAGAGATCTATAAAAAGGGATATTATGATTGAAATGTAACAGGGAAATGATGTTACTGTTTAAAAGCCAGAGAAATAACCTTGTTTATAGACAACTTTTATTTGAAAGTTGCGTAAAATGGCCCGAACCGGGATTTGAACCCGGGACCTCACGCATCCGAAGCATGAATGATACCACTACACCATCCGGGCCCAGCAGAGCACACCTCCAGAAAACATCTTGCAGAGTGTCCAGCAATTCCAAGGGACCTATGGGATCAACTGCCACCAGCACCACAACACTGCCATCCATTGGATCACACCATCAACTGTCTTTCTAAGAAATCTTCTTCCTGTCCTTCTTTCTGGGTGCCTCTACATACAATTCTCTGGCATATAGACCAGCTTTGCAATCCTGACAGTGAGTTTAGTCCCCACTCAAGTCCAGGCATGCTTTGGCATGATCAGGTGCACCAGGTGCATGAATGAACAGCTTTTTGTTCTGCTTCTCTGGCCTCCTCCCTCTCACTGTTACAATCTTTTAACACAGCTGCAGAGTGGAGAGCAGGGACAGCCTTAAAGTCTAGTAGTCTTAGTTTCTTTCTCTTGCCTGTCTTTTTTTGTTCTTTTGTCCTGTAGAACTTTTTTGTTTAATTCAATTAGTACAAGGAGTGCAGTAAGGCTTCATTAAGCAAATGCATATATCTCCTTTAATAAAAAATCTTTAACCTACACCATCTGGGCAAAGATCACTTGTTGTTCCCTAATTTGCAAAGAATAGTTCTAAGCCCAGAGGTATGTGCACAGAGTGGAATAGCTAGTGGTTCTTGGTTTGAACTGAAGCCCATATAGATCAAAGAAGAAGAATAAAAGAGAAGATAGAAGATAATGTTTATTCATTGAATTCATTTGATTATTTATACTAAATTCTACAGTGTACAATTGCATATACAGTGTCATGACAAAAAACTAAAATATTTTTTACATTTTGATATGATTCTTGTTTATGGAAATACTCATTCTTTGTCATAAAATCACACATTAAACACACAATGGAGACTTGAAAATTGGATAAAGTATAAAGAAGGTCATCAAGATAATATATACAGATTTATTAGGTGGAAACCCTTAGTATTTGATGTTTCCACCCTTGGCCTTAATAACAGCCCTACATCTCCAATGCATGCTGTCAATGAGGGTGTTGGTGACAGTCTTGGGTATTTTTTCCCAATCTTGCACCAGAAGAGCCTTCAGATCCTAGAGGGTGCTCCTTGAGGTCATCTTCTTTCTGACTGCTCTGTTGAGCTGCTCCCAAAGATGCTCAATTGGGTTCAGGTCAGGTCTTTGAGAGGGCCACCCCTCCATTGTGACTATGCCCCTCTCATCCTTCCATTTCCTAGTCTCCTTACTAGTATGGCAACTGGCATTGTCCTCTTGAAGAACATAGCCTACCACTGGATCCAGTGCCTTAAGACAAGCCAGCTCAGGGCAATAGGCTGTTTCTAAAATACTGGTGTGTTTGGCACTATTGATGGATCCCTCTACCACAGCAAGTCTACCAACACCTTCACCAGAAAAAGAACCCCAGACCATCACACTGCCACCATGAGATTGTTTGGACAGGTAGATTAACAAGACTGAACAAAGATAATTTTTATTGAGTAAAGAAAGGCTCACTATTTATACTTTTGGTGGGTGCTTATCCTTCAGTGGCTTCTACCTTATGGTAGGATAATCTATTCTACCTTATGGTAGTTATGATAGTCAATCTTATGGCTGCTTCACAATTATAACTAAATGGTTGGTGTCTATATTTCTACCTTATGGTAGTATTAATAACTGCCACCTTATGGTTGGCTCATATGTTTTACTTAGTTGTAGTATTATTAGATTCAACCCTATGGTTGGTTCCTGGGATAAGCACTCCATTATTGAAACCATTAATTATTATGAGTCTTTACTCAATTAACTCTGATAGGTCAATATTGTTCTGTTAGGATTATTAATGAAGATGGCTCTTGTTAAGTGTCCAATAGTACACTGAGCTTTAGAAGGTGATTTGTAGTTACAACCAATCAGTGAGATGATACAGAGATGTACTATGTTACTTGTGTGCACTCAAGCTTTCATAGAGTATTCTGAATGTCACAGCACACTACTTGTGTTGACTTATTCATAGAGAATTTTTGGATTGAAGTTGGAACACAACAGGAGGTGACAAGGGAGTGTAAATGAGTGGAAAGGGGGGAGGAAAGAGTGGTAAAGGTGTTGGCATAGAGGTCACATGGATCCTGTTCTTTCAAATGTGCTAGATTCCAGAGGCACCTTGGGTGGATGGTTGAAGAAGAAGGGGAAGAAGATGAACAAGAAGACAAGGACATATCATAAGAAAAAGAAAGTGACATAAGACATTGATCAGACCCAAGGGAAAGATCAGTGTTGATGTGCATAGAAGGGGAGGTCATATCAAAGTTGCATAAGAATAGGTCAAGGATACTTGAGCATGTGCATTGCTGCCAGAAACCATGCCAAGTAGCAATGCCATAGGAAAGAGAAGCATTCAACACAGACAGGGACTGTTCTTCAAACCATGGGACCATGGCAGTGCCACAAGGAGACATCACTGAATCACCAGTAATGTCACCCAGTCTTGCATTGAAGTCACCACACAGAATGGTGTTGGGGTAGATGGGGAGAGAGAAAAGAATGGACATAAGATCAGAACATTAGAGGGAGGGAGGGAGGTAGAGGCATAAGAAACAAAGTGGTCCCACTTTCAATGAAAGGGTATACTTGTTTGGAGAAGAGAGTTGGTGGATAGGGTAAGGAAAGGAAGGAGAGACCAGAGCAGAGACACCCATGGAGCCATGGTAGGAGGAGACCACAGGAGAGCCATACAAATGGAACTGCTCCCAGTCAGTGGGAAGACAAGCAGGAGAGAGAAGCCATGTTTCTGTGGTAAAAAAGAGAGTAGTGGGGGGACAGTGGGATAGAACATTATGCACAGTGGTTGCCCTAAGACCATTGGCATTCCAAAGACTTACATTGATTGTATCACTCATAAAGAGGGACTTTCTGAGAATGAGACAGACAGAGCTTCATGGTCCATATCATAGTCATCCAGATCTCTCTGGAAGCCATTGTCTGGGTAGTCACAATCATGGAGGTGGGGACGTGCAGGCTGCTGCTTGAAGAACTCCTCATAGTCTTCAGGCTGCATCCAGCCAAAGGAAACAAAGGAGCAGAGGACAGGGGAAACCAGGGTGTACTTCATGTGCACTAGGGCACAACAGCAATGTTGGAGGTAGATCATGTGGGCATGGTTGGCCAGCTCACTATCAGTGCATGTCTCAAACTTGGGGTCTGCCAGGTGTTCAGGACTCATGGGATCAAAGTTATCCAGGATCTTGACCTGGACCTTCTCCAGGAGTTCATGGATGTTGGAGGCAAACTGGTCATGCACAAGCAGACCAAGAACAGAACAGGCAGGGAAGGAGATGTCCAGGATGCGGGAGGTGTCTACACCAAGATGACAGAGATGATTGCATACCTCTTTATGCTGCATCTTGTGGGAACAGGGGATGTAGATGTACTGGAAACCCTGGACACCAGTGGGGATCTGGAATCCACAAGCAGCAGCAGCAACACAACAGACAGCAACAGGGGGACAAACAGCAGGGGACTTGGGTGTGGCAGCTACTTTGGAGTAAGAAGGAACATTAGTAGCAATGTTAGTAGCAATGTTAGTCTTTTTGGCTGTTTTGTGGGGCAAAACAGGTGGTGGCTGGGTTGGAATCTGAGTCCGACCAGTTTGGGGAGGTGTAACAGTCTTCTTGAAGACTGGGAAGAGAGCTGGGCCTTGAGAGAGGCAATCTCCAGGTGCAAATGGTTGTTTTCAGCTGTCAATTCTGATAACAGCTAAAATCTGGTCATGTTGGCTGGTTTTTTGTTCAAGAGTGCAAATAGCAGCCCGGATAGCAGCCAGCTGGTCTACCAGTGTCAAAGTGGCAGTTTTGGCTATGTTTTTGTTGTTAAAAACAGAAAAAAGCGGATAGAATGGTGGTTTTTGGTCCAAAGAAGTTGAAGTTGGTGTAAAGGTGTGTCTTGGATGGATGTTGAGGGATGTACAATGGATGCAAATGGATGCAAATGGATGTATGCTTGTTGTTCTGATGCAAAACTGTTTACTTACTTGAAAAAACTTTTTTTTGAAAAACTCAGATTTTTCAAAAAAGTGATGGGAAAGTAAAGAGAAGTGGTTTCTTGGTTTAGATTAAAGTTTTTTTTATTAAAGGGGTTTTTGTACTAGCTTAATAAAGCATATTACCCTTCTTATGACAATTTGAAAAAAAGATACAAAAAAGTTCTACAGGCTTAAAAGAACAAAAAAGGCCATGCAAGAAAAAGAAGCTAAGACTACTAGACTAAGTGATTGTCCCTGCTCTCTACTCTGCAACTGTGCTAATAGATTGTGACAGTGAGAGAGAGGAAGACAGAGAAGCAAAACAAAAAGCTGTTCATGCATGCTGGGATGCTGCTTGCTCAGACCAAAGGGATCCTGGGCTGGCTGCTGTGCTGTAGTTGCTGTCTGGGTTACAGAGCTGGTCAATGTGCCATAGTATTGTCAGGAGAGGCACCCAGAAGGAAGGACAGGAAGAAGACTTGAGAGGAAGACAGTTGATGGCATTGTCCAGTGGATGCTGCTGTGCTGATGGGGGGAGTTGTTCCCACAGGTGTCTTGGTATTACTGGGCAAACAGCAAGGTGTCTTCTAGAA